ATGCTCATGCTCAGACAAATGTCTTCAATTTCTAATTTTCTGTCAAGATGTTAATTCACCACATACTGTAAACCGCTTTATTTTTGTACGAGACAAATGTTCGAGAATTATATCATATTGAAATGGTTTATAGGATGTAAAAAATGTTCACTGTCAAAACTACAATACCGGTAATATGTTTACTTACATCCATCTCCATTGCATCATGTAGAGATGTTTTGTCGGCTGTTTCTTGCAAATCCTGATAATGTTCCTCTATCGTCTGTGGCATCAACTGTAACTCTTCTTTACTCTTAAACTCTAATGCTAGTATGGATGGGGGTAACAGTATTCCAAGTATTACCTAGATAGACAAAAGAAAGTATTATTTTAACCGTATTTGCTCTATTAGAAAAGCATCTAAATAGAAGTCAACATGGCTCTGGATCCACAATGTCAGAATTGGGAATATTTACTATTCGCATGCTGGCTGCCCAGTCATCTTCATGCTAGTACAAAATGAGGTGAATACACAGCAAATTGACATGCACTGTTTTAAACCAAACACAAATAATGATAACCAACATGATTTACACTTACTAGTAATTGATTATTTTGGCACAACTTGGTTAATTCTTGCATATAGAAAATCAAAGTTATACATGTAGCTGATGTACACATGCATATTCCTGTATTAAGGCATCCACCTCATTTTGCTATAGCAGAACCTATGGCAGTATTTTAGTAGGTAGCTGGCAAGCATATGGAAATACCGCCCACTCTGACAACTCCAGGGTTTGTATGCTAGATCATTATAGACTAACTTATTTGTGTTCTGAGAAACATTATATACCCCGGTAGTATCAAAAGTATCAAACACTTTGAAAGAAACATGTTAAATATACTTTGACATTATTTTCTTTTAGTTTAGGTGACAAATAGAAGAACCACAGAACAAGCCATCATAAAAATACTGGATTAGATAAAGATATATAATATACCAGTTTCAATCAAATAATTTTTGCTCTGAAAAGCAAAGTGTACATGAACAGGCAGTGGCAGCCAATATTGTTAACAGTTCTCACTCTCTGCATAGCAGACCTATATATACTAGGATACCACAGGAATACAGCAACAGCATTTGTAAAGGCAGTATGGGATCGCATCAACTGATGTGTAAAAAAGCTCAATAATATCCTGCACTGCTGTATTAGTGCCTGAGTGCATAGGATTGTGGTGAGTCTGTTCCTGCTAGTAGGTATCATTTAGTGAGAGATAACTGCCAGCCTAAGCGTTCATGAGATGCAATCTGTTAGAATGTTTGCACTCAGCAACAAAACCGGATTTTCCGATGTCAACAAAGGCAAAGGTTTGAATTGGATGCCAGTAATTTGAAAGTGTTCAATGTTGGTGATGTACAGTAAGTTTAATTATTTCAAATGCTGAAAAAAAAAAACTGAATCCGATTTATTTTGTTCCAAATTTCCAAGCTACTCCATAAAACACAGAATGGCCAAAAAAAATAATTACCAAAAAATTGTCCTTGGCAGAAAAAAATAATTAACGAGAATATAAAACTACATGTACATGACATGCATAGTCACAGCTCTCCTACCTTAATGAAAGTGTTTTTTCTCATTTGCAGTCCACCCATCCACATGTCATTGAGCAGAGCTTGGCAACATGGATGTGCTATGAATTCTTTGTGATTGGCAGAGACGGCTAAACTGAGACAAGTCAACAAACTCCAATTCTTCAACTCATAAGTCAGTAATTGCTGTGTCTGTATCGTATCAACATGGTAACATTGATCTAATAATTCCAACGACAGCGTTTGGAACTCACTGATCAAGAAAGATGAAAAAAATAAATAATTGGGACTAGTGAATTTGTATTTTGTGGGCTTCAGCAAACCCTTTCCTAGTCGCCCACGATTAATTGCATAATTTTAAACTAATGGCTTTACCAATACAAACCAAGAATTAGTTTGGTATCCACGAAGGCTTAGAAAGAAATTCTGTGTGCTGAGGAATCAAATCAAATAGGGATAGGAAATATTTAAAATTAATTACAAATTTAAAATTACAATAGAAGCTTGTATAAATGTTAAAGCTAGGCTCTCAGATGGTTACAGTAAGCCAGTTGATAATGATTACAGAAAACTCAAATGATAGTAGAAGGAATAAATTGGATTTTATATAGATTTTATATATAAGGTTTTTTAAAATTTTTATGCAAATTAGGTGATCAATAAATACTAATTTCAACCCCAATTTACCCTTCAAGAGCACTCATTAGTACCAAGTTGAGTGGTTCTTGAGACTGATATCTGTTGAATAGCTAAAAATTATGCATTAATTATGTGAAGTCGGTAATTAATATGCACAAGTAATTAATCTGCACAGATTGTGGCTAAGAAAAAAATAAGGTCTGTGGATTATCCCAGAGCACCTATACATGAATGTACGCACCATTGGATTATGTGACTTTTGTGATATCTGCAGAAAAGCTTAAAATTAGGTATTTGAAATGCAAGAATTTAAATAAATAAACAATAAAGTCTGAGGTTTAACCATGTACACCTAAAAATTCATTAAAATCTGATAAGTGTTTATCTGATGTTCAATTATATATAAAGAGGCCTGTAAATTTGACAATTCAAAAAAAAAAACTACATAAATAAAATTCCGACACTAACACTGTGTAAACGAGTCTGAGTAATGGAATGAAAGTAGATCACTTACAGATATTGTATTTAAAATGAAACAAAGTCTTTTCAACTTTCCTAAGGTGATGCCAACAATCATGATTTATTTACAGTACAGGAAGGATCAAAGGTCAATAAAGTTGAAATTATCAGATCTGTGCATTGTTATTATCATAACACGTCTTTGCATACCTGGAGTATCCTCTTAGCTCCTGTGCAGTGTCTGATTCTATATCGATTTGTTCTGCATCACGTGCCATTGCTTTGTACAGTTTACTTGCTGCAAGCGCTTTGGCTAATGCTTCTTCACCTTGCTGCCACATGAATAACGCCATTTTATGTCTTTTCATGAGCACCGCCCAGACCATCAGCTCATGGAAGGGATAGGTGAAAGTTTCGGTTTTTCGATTTACTGTTGAATCGTCCATGTCAGCCATAGAGATGCCTGATACAGTTTTCTGTTTAAAAAAACATAAGAATAAAATTGGAGTATATATAAAGTATCATTATACATTTGTCACTGTAACACTATAAGTTATAGCGTACCGTAATTTTGCGGTATTGCACTCGGTATTTGCATCCTACCATATTAGGAAATACGAATTCCAAATATGGAATGATTACGCGCGTAAGCAATCTCTAATAATAAAAACAAACATGGCTGCCACCGAGGTTTGACCGGACTCCATACAAAGAAAGTCGCTGATTCTGTTCTAAAGTTTTTGGATTTCAGCGTTCTCATGATGTATCATTGGGAGGAAAAGATGTATAATAATAAGGTTATTACGAGGATACCGCAAACTATGCACTCACTGACAGACAGTACACTGTTGGATCGATCTCTGCTACGCATCGGTCCATACTCCCGCTGTACTGTCTTCGTACATATTTTTCGTTATCCTTTAAAATGACCTCATATTATACATATATTGAGGTGTACAAATCAGGACATACCACCTCATTGCTTGCTTCTACCAAGGAGGTATGCTACTTTTAACCGATGTAGTAATATCAGATTTGTTCTTGCATATGATCGATACATTTTGAAATAAGAACAGAAGTAAAAATTTGTGTTGCTAAATTTGAATCTTTTTATTCTTGGTGATTATAGTGAAGATCTTTCACCAAATAATTTTGAACATTTTTTCATAAATTTCAGCCAAGACCTGTAGGCAATGGAAACTGATATTTATTATAGTGTTTAAGCAGTATACCTGCATTCAATATCAAACTGTCCTACCGGTACATACATCATTGAATCAGTTCTACAAGATGCTCACTGATTCGATGATTCACCTCTACTAATAGCCATGCTTTGTGAATAAGCCAATCATCAATGGCCTTTCATGCAATACCTGTCTCTCAGTCTAAACTAAAGATTAAAAGTGCACTTTGGGGTTGACCATTAGAAAATCTGGAAGGGGAAGAAAGTAGAAAAATTTTGCTAAATATTTTTTCTCTCACTTAGTTTCAGGCCACTAAAGATCTTTCAAAGTATTGATTTTTTCTATTTTTTGTGCAGATTTTTTTTTTAATCAATCCCCCATAGATTTCAATGGTCAATCCCTTATATTTAGTAATAAAGTTGTTCACGATTGGTTAAAATTGGTGCATATATATAAAAACAACATATTAGGCAAACTGTGATTCAAGACTGGGTTATTCTATTTAAACTCAGGAGCTGAAATGTACACATCAAGACACAACATTCTTAACACAAACCTTAAGATTAGCAAAATTTGATCTTGGTATCTTCTAAGGAAACAAAAAAAAAATAAGAACTAAACTACAGGTAGGTTATGAAAAGAAAATGAGGGACTTTTTCAAAAAATAAAATAAAAGAAAGAATTCAAAATTTTAGTGAATTTAGCCAAAGTGGTGTTATCATTTTCATGCTGAATTAAGATAATTTGTAGTTTTTATGTTTCTCAGATCAATGTACAAAGCTGAATTATCTCCGGTAACCCTTTGAGCACCACTGTCAACTTTTGGCACCAGCAACAAAATCATTAGGTAGAGTCTGTTCCTCCCCACATGAAATGTTGATAAGAATTGACAAATCTTAACATAAAAGCAATATCAGATACTGTCTGTATGGAACAAAAATTATGATGACATGAAATTTACTCTTCATGAAATTCCCTACAATGTTTGTGATAAAATGCTTACCCTGAGTGGTGTTCGTATTGTATTCTGATAAACCATTTTAAACTTCTTTCTAGTATACAAAGATCGATAAGCACCACCCATAAGCTGTTCCATCACCATGCCGATATCAATCAAAGTATATCGCTGGCTATTGTGATTATTCTACAGAAAAACAAAACAGATAGTTATTAGAATGGATGTGGCCAACCAGTAAAATCAAAGAAATCTTAGAAAGAAGTTCGATGTGCTGGGAGTATTGGAGACACATTAAAATTAATTTCAAAATTTAAGATTAGTCTTTCAAACAAAAAGCTTGGCAACTAAAATTTGTCTGCTATTTGAGATGCACAATATGATCCACATTATTAAAGTTCATAATACTTACAGAAAATACATTGATTTTACAACTGTGGTTTTCAGTCTAATTTATTCCAGAGCACCTCTACCACAAGTTCAATTTAAATTTGGCTAATAATAATTGGGTAATCAATATGCATGTTTTTCAACAAATGAATTATTATGCATAGATTTAGGTATGTGTATTGGTCCATGGTGCATATGTACCAAGTTTCATTATAATGTGATGATTAATCCTAAAAAAAAAATTGGTGGAAAGCTGGAAAGAAAATGATTATGCAAATTAGGTAATAAATCCAAAACTAATTAGATAATTGCATTGTCTTTGAGTATATATGTACCAAAATTCATTGAAATAAGATGATATAAAGTATTTGAGATATTGGTACTTGACATGCACAGATTTTAATGAAAATCTAATAAGGTCTGCACAATGCCACAGACCATCTATGAACCAAGTTTCAGTGAAATGTGATTAGAACCAAAAAATTATGAATTATTACGCAAATTATGTAATTAATATGAACTGATTTAAACCCAAAACTGAGCAGGTCTGTGCATTGGCTTAGAGCATCTATGTACCAAGTTTCATTGAAATGAAACAAGTCATTGTTAATGACACAGTCCCCGTCCAAAATTTTGTGATCTGACATATCAATTTGATGCTGATGAAGTCATTGAGATTAGATTGAAACCATTAATAGGAGATGGATTTGTAAAAAGTTATGATTTAGTGCTTTTACACGAGAATTGGACATTGGGAAGTCATATTGAATCAAATTACAAAAATAATGTTCATGTTGATGTATCTATTGGTATACTGTCTTCGTACAAAATTTAAACAGAAATGTTCATTGTATTCATGGGAAAGTAGGCATGGGTATCATGAAAAACACCAGTCAGCCATATTAGTTTGAATCACAGAAAAAATATGACATGCAACTATAACCCAATATGTATGATCATCATACCAACTTTGATCCAAATTGGCCTAGTCATCTCTGAGAAACGGCTCCGAACGGAGACTAATAATTAGTACTTGAGATATTAGAGTGAAAGCCGAAAATTGGCTAATTATGCAAATTAGATAATTAATATTGACAGATTTTAATCCAAAATTAATCAGGCATTGTGCAATATGTGCATTGTCCTAGAGCATCTTTGTATCAAGTTTCATCAAAATCCAATAAGTGGTTCTTTAGATATCATTTGAACAGTCAAGGATCAACAGCTAAAAATTAGCTAATTATCATGCAAATTAGGTAATTAATATGCAAGGATTTTAACCAAAACCTAATCAAATCTGTGCATTATCCCAAAGCATCTGTGCATCAAGTTTCATCAAAAACCAACATATGGTTCTTAAGATATTAATGGAACGGACAGACACACAGACACAATAATTGCCACGATTTTGCATAAATACATATGCATACGTGTCACTTGATGTATGAAGCATTGTGTGAAGTTTGAACATAAACTGTCAAGTCATGTCGGAGATATGGCTCTCTATGAAATAGTGTTTATTAAAACAAAATGGCCTCCAGTTTGCCACTTTTTAATGATCTAAAAACCAAAATGACATGCATTATGTACAATGTATTTACACACAATCCAAATCCAGTACTGGAATGACCTTGTCTAAACAGGGACTAAAGGTCAAGAATTGCCTGAGAAATAGTTAATGGCATGTTCAAGCAATGAAAACAAAAAAGGGAAAACCAATTAATGACTTGTCATTGTCCAACTTTGAACCAAATCGACCCTTGGCGTGTTAAGAAATGATGTTAAATAAATGTACAGAACCCAAAACATAATACCCTGTTTTGGATTACATCATATAATGTGTTTATCAAGATGCAACATAGGAAAAAAATAATTTAAATATACTCAAAACACTCCACATTATCCAAATTGTCTTTTTAACATAGAACGTAAACCGCTTTAATCTCACAAGAGACAACAGCGGAAATGTGAGTGTAGCAATTAACATATCACTGGAGTTTTAAAGACACAAGAGTTACACTGACCTTTGACCACATAAACAACATTAAATCATCAAATAATGAACATTCCAGGCAGTTGAAATTAAATGGTGTACACAAGTTGAATTTCAAACAACGCTGTAAACGCCTTACCTTTTTTATGTCCCTAGCAAGATAATGCAAAGTGCTATGTAAATCAACCTGCAATTGAAAAATAAATCAAGAGCATAACTCTTGCAGACTTGTATCCATGATCTATTTGTATAAAACAGCACCCTCTAGTGGCAGAGAAGGCAATAATATACTGTGGAATATTTACTTTAATAGCTTGAATTTTGTCTTCACAAATAATATAAAATTATCAAATCACAAGCAACAAAAATTAAACTGTTTACAGTTTGCAGAAAACAATTCAATACGTCCATATCATCAAAATGATAAATGCTACCATGATATATAAAAACATATTAAAACACACAAAAGCACAATTTTATTGAAAAGTGTTACTCAATATTTTAATACTGTCTTAATACAGTAAGTAATTTTGTATATTGAAGAGATAAAAAATAACAGCAAAATTAAAGCTCCTTAAATAGTTGGAACGTTATCCACACATATGTACATGTAGATATTGAGTTACAACTGTAATCAGTATTTCATTAATCAATTTTTAATATCAAGGGGGAAGAAAATGTCTCAATACACACTCACGATATTATAAAGGTCCTCTAATCTGGAAAATGTCAGGAATTTCTGAATATTAACTCCATTATCCATTAATAATTTAACAAATTCCACTCGATCGTAGGTAAGAGCATCCATCATCACTTGCTCCAAGGCTCCTTCCTGCAAGGACAAATATTTCATTTGATTTCAATAATAGGGTAGACATAACTTGAAATGTATATCCCAGTTACAGGCCTACAGGCTTATCATTGTAATTACTATAATAGCATATTAAAGTGAGATAACCATCTAAATATGGTGATTTGAAATCAATTTCCTGTCAAAAGATATTCAAGGCAAAATATCAGTTCTCAAATGAGCAGTATAAGTGTACTGAAAAACGCTGGATTTTTTTCTAAGTGTGTAGAAATGGTTAAAGATTTTACAGTAATTTATGAATATATATCGTCAAAATCACATCTGACATAAGTTTATTATTGCGTCAAACATAAGATTAATAGATGGGCAGGGGTTCTATGACCCCCCCCCCCCCTCACACACACACACAGGTTAGTTGTATAACTATCCAAGTAACACTATTATATTATATATATTTTTTTTTGGAAATTTTTTTTTAACTTTTACAATAAATATACTAAATATATATAAATATACATTTAGAAACATATATTTTCATTTCTTTTGTGTGATCCTACATCCTGAAAAAAACACATTGAAGTCTGGCAAAATATTACACAAAAATATTAATTTTTGGATAATGTAATTAAGTATAGGTCCAATATAACAATGATGTAAAGAGCAAATACGGTATTGTATAATGTCATACATAATTATATACAATGTCTTACAGGCCATTCTACACCATAGACGAACACTTGTTTTTTGGCAATGTCTTCTCTGTCCCAGGCTAACGACAACGACAGCTGGTCCAAAGGAGATGCATTCTGAGATTTCAACAAGGCAGTCAAGATTGACAGATCGATGTCTTCAGACTCATCATCATCCATGCGAAAAACAGTAATCTATCAAATGGAACAATGATTTGAAAGATCATGGAATGCAGTAATTTATAGAATGTGGTAATCTAGTAAATCAAATGATATTAAACGCAAGGAACGCATTAACATTTTCAAAAGAAATTGCCTGCACATTTCTCTTATACTTGTGTATTTTTCAATATTTTTGGAAATGAACTCTAATTTTGGACAAAGCAGACAAAATTTGAGTCAATCTTCAGTTCTTACTCAAAAGATTTTATTATTTTTGTTCCAATCTTTTAACAGAAAAGTGCAGACTATAAACGAAACTATTTTGTAAAATTGTGATGAAAAGAGGGAACTGGCGGTGAAAAGATTAACCTTTACAGACTGGAACCCTGTAATAAGAGTTTACACAATATAAAAGACCATGTTAGGTTTGCTTCCAATAAATGTACATCACATTCAATATCAACAAGCATGCAATCACAGAGAGTTGAGGGAATGAAAACAGTGATGACAACCCCTTCCCCCTCAAAATCTCAAAAAATCTCAATAATATTAGAGCTACGTCAAAACATATGAATTCAGACCATCAAAGGTTTCATAATCTCACTTCTCAAGTAGACTAGAGTTTTTACATAACCGCATTCAATTCTACAAATGTAATACAAAACAAGACATAAACCAGGGTTTTATGTTACCACATAAGCTTCCATTAAAACAATATGTTACTACAAGAAGAGACAGACAGTCAGGTGCATGCAGCCAATTATTTTCATAAATAGCTCTACTTTGTCTCTAGCGATGGATTTAGAGCTCAGAGCAGTTCTTTAGTATTGCACACTGGCATTTTCTAATAGCCACAATCACTAGCTACAGTTTCTAATGGTAAATCAGATTTCTTGCTGGTTTGTTTATTATTATTCAAATCATCCAATGAATCAAGGTTACTAATTTCAACAGATAAATCCAAAATAGTTTGTGAATTTAATACTTATTTCAAACCTGTGTGTGACCATGTATACAAAAACCACCTGCCTATAGTGAAAAATGTTATGCAGTCCCAAGGCATAACACATATGAGCAGCCTGTATAAAAAGACCATCTGTCCTATGTGACTACTCATTCAGCAAATACTTTTGAAGATTTGCCTTTGTTTAGAGGCAAAAATACTATTAAAGTAGCTTTCTTGAGTCAAACAAATTTGATTTTTATCAATTAAAATAAATGTGTTATTGTTGCAACCATACTATCTTATTATTTTCTGGACAAATAAAAAATAATAATCAAACCTCTAAATAAAGATCGTCTCTTGGGTGGTCGCTATACACAGGTTTGACTGTATATACCACATTCTTATGAATTAACCAAAAAAAAAGAAACATGCCAATATTTTCAGAGTAAAATATTTACAATAACAATTGTTCTATATAATGCCTAACTACCGGTAAAGCTTTAAGAAAACAAATTTGAAATATTCCAAAATGGAAAACTAATTTACCATTTGATTTTTCCCACACGAACAACTCATTCAAAGCAAAACCTTACACCCACCCAGTGAAATAGGTCATTCCACTAGAGCTGGTGTAAGAACAATACTATAGCATGAGAGAAAAGTTGCTAACAATTTACAAAAACTTAAGTTTCCAGGAAAAATGGAGGAAGAGTACTCAGTTATTGGGAAAAAACTTGAATCAACAGACTTACCAGATCTCTTCTTCTTATGCATAGCATTAATTCCACAAATAATTTCTCTGCTTGGTCCCGAGTAAAACTAAAAGTCTGCTGAATTGTTACTAACAGTTGATCTCTTAAAGTTTCCAACATTGTTCTAGATACAGAAATGTACAAAAAATGATGGTAATATCATTTAAAATAGTATATATGTTGAATATATTTTCATTCACAGATTTTTAATATTGTTGGCGTTCAATGGCTGTTTCCCCAAACCATTCCTATTTTACAAATTCAGTTGCTAAAATGTTGACTCATTAATATTCAAATTAGATCATTGATCTGCAAGAACATAGCGTCCTTTTATTTTACAACTAAACTCATCTTGTTCACCCAACCCATCTTCCATGCATATTTATGTACAAGGCATTGGGTTTTCAAGCTCTACCAAACTTTGTTTTTTTGTTTTTTTTTAACATAAACTCATTCCTCTTCACTTACCCATCATCCCCTGCATATTTATGTACAAAAGCAATGAGGTCTGCAGCTCTACCACTACCATCACAAACAACAATGGGTATTGGTGGCATATCAGTTACCATGGTAAGTATTGAACGAATTGTGTTTGGACCACCTTCCACTACCACGCATACAACAGGCACACAACGACGACTACCTATAACAAAATTTTAGGTTATACAATTTAAACAATCCAATTGTCAATATTTTTTCACCAACTTGACAACTATTTTGCAGCTGTTATTCAAGAATATATGAGTGATCATAATATTTATTTCTATAGACCAAAATTTTAAAGTAGAAATCTGTACTCACGAGAACTAATTCTTTGTTTTGATATGTATTTTTCTAAGTGTCTACGAAGCTTGATTTCAGCCCCATAACATCCAGCAGTACCGTTATCTACCAGTAGAAAGTGAGTGTGACTACTATTCAATATTGCTCCCTTAGATGTTGGACATGGTACTGTGTAGTAAGGTTTTACAGCCTGCAAAAAAAAAGATAGAAAAACTTAATTTTTCTCCCATGATGCATTGTCACATGATCAGTTGATTCAAAATTCTGAAGCAGCTCTAGGGCACTAATGTACTGTATAGACAAATGCATGTATATCAGGAGTCCTTGGCTGTTATCGATCAATTCAAGCAAAAACTCCAACAGGTGTGACGGAAGACCAACAACACAGAATTCACACATGAAGAAAAAATACATCTTTCTACATCCCTTTATCTTTAAATATATTACACTCCATTTGTTCAACACACATGACAGATTCAATCAGTGATCATCAGAAACGCCTCAATTCATTCATAACCAAGGGCAATTTTGCTTTCATTTAAATCAACCATACTGTGTCTAATTATAAAAAACATCCTTATTTGTTATAATGGAGAGTGTACTTACATCTCTTCCTAGAAGGTTATCTCTATTTAAAAGTACTCCCCATGGAGCGATTCCTATGGTGACGGTTCTTCCACGCATTCTTACAGATCGATTGTTGAGCGAGTCCCCGACATGAACAGTGACACCTATGTGTTAAAAAAAAATTAATAACTTAATAAAAATTATTCAATACAGATGGGTTATACCATAAAACGTGCAATGAATTATTGAGTAGGAGAAATCAGAAAACTCATATTTGATATTTTGGTGGTTTTTGAGAGCGCACATTTACAAGTAATAATAACCATCTTCACAGTTGCACTTGCTTCCCTATTTAGAAATGGTACAATCTAGTCTGTTATTAGAAACATGGGTCAAACCATTTGGTAGAGGGAAGAGTTATGCACATACTTAAGATTTTCTTCTTTAAAAAAAAGTTAAATTGCATATACCATACTGCATGTTTAGGAGAGTCGATTATATAGTAATATAGTGGGTTTTACTATATACAGAAACCAAAGCTAATGTTGAACACTGAACCACACTCAAACAGAGATTACGTTAATCAGGTTTGTACAATATAATTGTGTTATTCTAAGCTCATAAATCAAAGCCTATAATTTGGTTTAATTTGGTTCAAATGGCTGACCATTGGAATCACCAGCTACACTGCTAACAGGCGGAAATTATAGATCTATATTATCTACAACAAAAAATCATGAAATACAACGTTTACAGGTTTCTCAGTGTTGGATATTACCACAACTACAATGGTTTGTCTTCCATCAGCAAAATAGTACTACTCTGTGGCACTCATCGGATTTCACTTATTTTCAGTGACAGTAGACGCAGTATAAATGAACAATATGTCTTCAGGTTTCCTTTATAAATACATGTATACACATTCTCAGATTCACAGATTTTACAGCCTGAATGTAAAAACAGGCACCACAGTCTAGTAATACACAAACATATACCAGTAAAGCAAACCAGAAAAATTATACAAAATCATTTTGACCTATATTTTTCTAGTATTTTATTCTGCAATTGATGAACACATTTTTAATAGCTCTTTTAATTTCATCAAAATACTGATTCAAAGTCTCAATAATGGTTTTATTTACTTAACAATCACATGACTAACCATGGGTTGCACCTGATATAACATTTGATTTTTATTTAGTGTACAGTCTTGGTTTTCATGAAATATATATAGGTTGACTCTTCTGAGAATATAATTAATAATTTTACTTCTTGGAAAACTCTACTACATGTACATCCTTAGCTACATGTATGACCAATTGTTACCGATATAATTTACTAGCTTGCCTGCAATGCGCGACTGGATCTCTAAAAATTGGTCGCTATTAATATAAAGACATTTGTTGTTGTGTGAGCCCTCCCTAGCCTTTCTTCTCGTTTCTAAAGATGTTTATTTTGCAAATTTATGGTCATCACACAACTAGCTGACTTCAAGTAAGGTCTTTATTGCATATCGCACAAATTGCGAACTCTAATCCTATGAATCCATCCATGATACAAATAAAAATTCAATTTACGGTCTTTGATTTGTTAATTATGGACTGAAAACAACGATGATTGAGAATCTCGACTTGACAAGTACGTGTTGACTGTTTGATGAGAGATAATTAAAACAACTGTGATTGGTCGGTGACACACAACAGCGATCCCAAATCTTGTTAATTACCAGGCCGGAATATGGGTTGGAACAACCCATTGCTGACAAATTTCTGTATCCCTGTGTATAATAACAAATATCATTGCAGCCCCGTATGACCAACCAGAATTAAAGTCAACTATATACACAAGGAAATCAAGTTTATGGATTGCAAAACGTTAATGTGCATTTCCTCTATTCGTTCCACTAAAAGCTTTTATCGTACCACCAGACACTATTAAACAATGAGAAGAACTTGTCGCCAGTTATAATCAGTAATGTAAACACATTTGTGGAGAAAAGGAAATCAAACTACCGGTAATTCTATAATGATGCACAAAACCTTGTACATGTATAGGCAGTAGGCAAACACAAATTGTAAGGCAGTCAGTAGGATTTTCAGGCAGAAGTTTATGTCAAAAATAAGCTTGGTTTAATCCTTTGAATACCATTTCACTGTTGTCACCTTTAACAAAAATAAACATGTACTACTAGAATGTGATTCCACTTGTTAATTAATTGCTAACTATGGAAATCAACGGAATACATTTTTCTGGTCCAGGGATGTTTCTTGATTGTGAATATTTTCTTTTCCTGGTATGATAGGAAAAAAAATCTGGTAACAGTTAGCATGCAAATTAGCTACATGTATTTAACCTGCAGATGATTATATGTACCGTACCAAGTTTCAATAAATTAAAGCAAACTGTTGTTATGATACAGAATAAACAAACTGAAAACAGATAATTATGTAAAGTAGTTAATTAATATGCACAGCTTAATTAGAAGCTGATATCAGATAACCCAAAACACCAAATAGCAGGTTTATATCCTTTTGAAAATAGTTCCAATTCATATGCAGAATGTAAATTTCTACAGCTGTATTCATATGCAGAGTGTAATTACTACAGCTGTATTCATATGCAGATTGTAATTGTTACAGTTGTATTCATATGCAGATTGTAAATTGCTACAGCTGTATTCATATGCAGAGTGTAATTACTACAGCTGTATTCATATGCAGATTGTAATTGCTACAGCTGTATTCATATGCAGATTGTAAATTGCTACAGCTGTATTCATATGCAGATTGTAAATTTCTACAGCTGTATTCATATGCAGATTGTAAATTGCTACAGCTGTATTCATATGCAGAATGTAAATTTCTACAGCTGTATTCACATGCAGAGTGTAATTACTACAGCTGTATTCATATGCAGATTGTAATTGCTACAGCTGTATTCATATGCAGATTGTAAATTGCTACAGCTGTATTCATATGCAGATTGTAAATTTCTACAGCTGTATTCATATGCAGATGGTAAATTGTACAGGTATTCATATGCAGATGTAAATTTGATACAGCTGTATTCATATCAGATTGTAAATTGCTACAGCTGTATTCATATGCAGATGTAAATTGTTACAGTTGTATTCATATGCAGATTGTAAATTGCTACAGCTGTATTCATATGCAGATTGTAAATTGCTACAGCTGTATTCATATGCAGATTGTAAATTGTTACAGTTGTATTCATATGCAGATTGTAAATTGCTACAGCTGTATTCATATGCAGATTGTAAATTGTTACAGCTGTATTCATATGCAGAGTGTAAATTGCTACAGTTGTATTCATATGCAGATTGTAAATTGTTACAGTTGTATTCATATGCAGATTGTAAATTTCTACAGCTGTATTCATATGCAGATTGTAAATTGCTACAGCTGTATTCATATGCAGAATGTAAACAGCTACAGTTGTATTCATATGCAGATTGTAAATTGTTACAGTTGTATTCATATGCAGATTGTAAATTGCTACAGCTGTATTCATATGCAGATTGTAAATTTCTACAGCTGTATTCATATGCAGATTGTAAATTGCTACAGCTGTATTCATATGCAGAATGTAAATTGTTACAGTTGTATTCATATGCAGATTGTAAATTGCTACAGCTGTATTCATATGCAGAATGTAAACAGCTACAGCTGTATTCATATGCAGAATGTAAATTGCTACAGCTGTATTCATATGCAGATTGTAAATTTCACACAGGGATGGAATAAGTGTTCACCCGGATGCAAGGCAAGCAAGCTGCAACCAATTTAACCATTATGATAAAACCAGAGACGTTGAAAGCTTTTTCTACTTTCCTGTGTGTGTGTGTGTATCTATCATGGAACATCTTCTAATCGATTTGCACTACCTCAATTTCAACACATATTACGCGCATTTGAGTACATGTAGTGAGAGTGAATATTACAGACAGATACCGATACATGTAGCAACCATCAAGATTGAGTTGTATGAGTTACCAATCAATACATACATGTATGCTGAATATGTTACATAAAAGCAACATAAAATCATAGATGGTACTTTTAGAAAATACAAACATTTCTTTCAAATTACCACAAATTATCAAAATAAAACAAATTAAAGTGACATTTGCATAAATATGTAATACATTTGCGATGTGATTGCATATTTTCCACTGCCACAAAGATTGCAATTATGATAAATATAAAATTCAACAGGCCAGTGATTTCAGAAAAGCGGATTATTAGAGAGGGATAAGTGAGGAAAAAGCTAAAGATAACATTTCGCTGCTGTCTATTTTTGCGGCACCACAATTTGATTGCCTAAAGGGGGTGGGGCACGCATGAATAAATTCCATGAGAGTTAGTCTAAGTGATTGTATTTTAAGTCACGTTCAATCAATTATTTCTTTATAAGACAGAAATGCTACCCGTACATTTTCTGTAAAGTCTGTAATTGCAGGTAATAATGACAAAATACAAACTAAAGGAAAAAGTAAGTTTCAGCAAATAGGCCTCTTGAAAACTGTACTAAGTTGTTACTGTAAGCTATTGAAGTGAGTTATTTCAGGCTTTTTAGCTGTGCCCACTTGGAAAAGACACTACTATGTATGCTACAGGAGAGATTTAAAACTTGTCCTTGGTTACACGCATACATCCAGAGAATTGATTTTAATATTCATTCCTGGTGATTGCTAACTTTCCAGAACGCTACCTTCTTTTTTTGTTGAAATTTTTTTGTTTCAAATTTCTATCATTGACTGTCAGTTTATTCACACAAGGTGTTTCTATTTTTCAGTTTGTCTGTTGCCTTAAAATAATCACAGCGACCTGATGGCTCTGGAAAGTTAGCAATCACCATAGCAACCTGACGGTTCTGATGACTGAAAAATCGTTGTTAATATCAACATTTTACACAATGATTGGTTCCAAGGCAGTGATTTATGTTAAAACAAATAAAATCTATGATAATGAAATTCACATTCATGGAAACTGAATTGATAAGAAGGTGATTTGTGAAAATAAAATAACCACATGCATATGTTACTTTTTGGTACATGTACCTATACATAAAACGTTGCAGTACAGAATTGTGAAAATTACATACGAGCGAATGGCAAAATTAAAGAATATAGCATGATTTCAAA